TATATATATATATATATATATATATATATATATATATATATATATATATATATAAAAGATAAAATTTGACGAAGAAGTACTTCTGATCGATTAAATGATACAAAGTGGTGCTATTAAATTTTTATACTACTACACTTTCTGAAACTAAATTAGTGAAATTTTTACTAATTGAAATAATAAGCTGAAGAACTACATCAAAATTAATAATCTTTGAAATTAATCTATACTAAAAGTTTAGTTCGTCTAGAATTTTTTGCTAATTTAAACAATCAGGGGATCGGTTTATTATAGAATGAGCAGAAAAACGACTGTGCCATTTGTAAAATTTCTCTTTCTTATTCGTGAAAAATCTACTAACTAAAAATTTAACTATATACATTCAGTAATTGAAAAATTGATAACTACTCATTATTACTAGTATACTTTGGATATTTTAAGAAAGTAACTATTATTTATGAATTAGTTAGTGACATATTATTGAATTTAATTATCTTGATCAATATTTAACTCGAATTGAGCAGAAAAGTTCTACGGAATAATTTTCTTGGTTTAATATAACGATTATTTTATTCGGATCATGTCAATTTTTTCGTTAGAGTGAAAAAAAAAAATTAAAATTAAAATATAAACTTTGGTCACAGAACTGACCTGAGCAATGTGCTTAAAAATTTAATGTTCTTAAAGTATGTATAAAATTCTCTATAAATAAAAAATTATATAGCCGTAGAGTTATAATACAATAAAATCATTTAAGCAAAAGTGATTTTATTTTAAACTTAGTAGTCTGTGATGTTTTTAACTGTAAAAGTTCATAAAAAATATATCTTTATATGTATACGTCAATAACAAGGAGTTATTTTATAAATCTAGATAGTTTCTTAGCGGAAAGATAAAAAATCTAAAAATGGGTTACTTTTCATGATTTTTTAGACTTTTAATGATAAAACATTACGATTGTATTTTAGTAAGAAATGCAAATTGATGCACTAGTATATCGACGGTCTAATTAGCAATTTGTCTAACTCCTTATTTTTTAGAGGGTGATTTTTTAACATTTTGATGTAGCAATAATCCGATTATAAATTATTTAAATAATTCAAACCTAAATATTATATCTCTATTAGATATTAATGATATTAAATGGTTTTTTAAAGTGATAATAAATTTTGAACTAATTGTTTTTTTCGTACAAATAGAAGATTCTCTAAAATGGAGTTAGACAATTTGCTAATTAGAACGTCGATATGCTTCCATGAGTATGTATTTATGTATCATTCCAAATGCCAAAAGGACGAATGAAAATTTTATTATAAATACATTTCCGATTGCCACGTTTCATCATATCAGTGAAGGGGACAGTAAATGGCTGTTTATCGATCAAAGTTTAATAAAAGATAGAGAATCGATGAAGATTTCTTCATCCACTAGCGTAATATAATTAAAAATAATTGAAGTCTCAGGGAGCTAATATTAAGAGAAACTTTTTCTTAAAACACTCATGAGTGAGTGACGGAATTTGTCTGCAAAATTCGTTCTCAAATTTTTTGTTAAGTCGCTCATCAGTGACTAAAGTGGTTTATCAGTGAACTTATAATATTGTCGTGGTGTTTTATATCTTTTTATTCATCATATATATATATATATATATATATATATATATATATATATATATATATAAATATATATACATATATATCAATGATTTTTTCATACATTTAGTTTTCTAGATTCAAGTAAAATTTGAAACAATTATAATCGCAACACTGTTCATGTGTCAATAAATGATAAAGTTTGAATTATATATCACATACTTCATTCCTAATCTAAACCGCATTTATAAACACTAATAAATTAACTTTATCCATATACACATACGATTTGTATTTTCTGACTTTTGATGCATTTAATTTTCGCGTTCGTTTATTTTATTGACTATAATAAAAAGTAAAATCATTATTTTCGTTTTGCAATACAAGTTTATTTTTTTTTTTTATTATTATTTTTGTTAAGTAACGTCAGACGATCGTCTGGAAAAAACTTCTCGAATCGTTATCTTACATTTATACGTGATGATACTATAAAGTGCCTATTGGATCCCCGATAAAAGGAATCGCAAAGGCCACTTACCGTCTACCTATTATCAGCTCACGAAGATGACTGCTAGTTTCTAAACATTTAACTGGTCGTTTTTCTTTGTTGTCTTTTTATTACCTCCATTTCACATTCGCTGTGTTTTTCGCGTATTTCATTTCTGCTGTAATTACAATCGTCATGGTTGAAATAAAACGTGAAACTAATAAATAAATTTTATGTTTCAGGGATAAGAATTCAAAGAAAAAATAATCTTAGTTTCATCCATTTCCGGTAAATCATCAAGTTGTTATATTATACTACAAATCAATATTTCTTCTGAAAAACTAATATGGTAATTATTTTTGGGGACAGCAACGAATATTACCATAATGAGTTGAAGATTGGAGATAAGGGATTTTTTTCTGGGTATTCAAAGAAACCGATGAGTAAACATGTTTTTAATTAAATTGGATGTAAAGGTAGATAAAAATATTAGGAAAACGGTTGACCCTAAAGGTCATCCATGCACTGAGAAAAAAGTATTTTGATAATCAGAATATCAGGTATTTTGATAATCAAAATACCACGTATTGTGATTATCAAATTATAAGTCAGTTCAAGACCTATACTCTGCGCAGTAATACTATAATATATGCGCTGTTACTGCCATCGACGTTTTAACACTGTCAGTCAGTTTATTTGATTTATGCACTGGTGAAAATAGAATTCAACTAATATTGATTATATTAGCTTGAAAAAAAATTATTATTACACTTTCAGTTTTAATTTTTATTTTTTTTGTTAGTTTTATTAGTCAATCGATTTGTGCCAGTAAAGTGAGGTTATAAACATCTAATAGTCTGTTGTATTGGTATACTATGTAACGTGGTAGATTTTTATTCGACGCCCAATACTGGGAGTATATTAACCTTCCAGGTTCGAATCCAACGTCGTGAATGTTATGTGTGAATGAATGAAAATTGTACTAATTTTTATGAATTTATTTTGTGTAAAATACGTAACGCTGGACGAGTAACGAAGACAGAGCGAGTCACAGCGAGTAGAAGGCTGTGCATTGGAGCGACAAGGATGGAGTTACGACGTACCGAAGCGAGTACCGAAGCGAGCGAAGCACCGAATGGCGTAAACACCCGAGAGGTCTGAGGACAATCGACGCTGCACTGCCGCATTTTTCCAATACGACGATCAACATCGATGACAGTTGGTTAGTCAGTACTGCAGGAGCAGAGGTGACTAAAAACTGTCGTGAAGGTCCGTTGACTGTTATACGGACCTAGATCAACTATCGACGGGGATCAATTCCTATGGAAATGAAGACTAGCGCCGCCAACTTCAATGAAGGAAGAAGTAGGTACTTCTCCATGAAGAAGACGATTCGAGGCTGGACTGTCGACGTACACGGACGCGCTTTTGCGCGCTCCGCAACGTAAACTTAATTTCGAAGTATTGTCGCGATTTTGCTTATTTGAAGTTAATTTGTAACTTGTTGTAAAGTATTGATTTTCTAACTTTATTATTTATTTGAGTCGACCGCACGAAGCTTTCCAAGCTGCTAAGATGAGGACGACGCTCAATTTCTTGGTAAGCCGACGTTCTTGTTCAGTGTTGAATCCAGCGTTTAGAGTCCACGTTGTAATTTTATAAAGTATTTTGATTAACAAAATAATACGCGAGGATTCAACGCTTTACGATTTTTTTTTGTAATGCTGTTATTACATAGTGTGATTGCCGATGTATAAATGTGGGTGTAAGAGTTGAAATGAGACAACGACGTTTATTAATTTTAATTTTGTTAAAGCGCAAAATTTAAGTTACGACGTTTTAATAACTTTTGTTAAAAATTAATATCGACCGCCGACGTATATTTTGTTGAATAAATTGTTATTTTTTTTTAATTCTCCTGAATTTATTTCAAGTAATTTTAAGAATTTCGTTTATTTTGCTGTCCTTTTTTTAACGATGAGTATTTCAGCATGGCCCGCCGCCCTGAGGAAGAGGTAAGAGCTAGCCGAAGTCGAAGCAGTAATTAATTGGAGATCATTCTCCTGGCGCCCTTTTATTAATGATAATTTTTTTTAAGTAAGCCAAATTTTAATATAAAAACGGTAAGCCTGGCTTGGTAAATCCCCGGGTCAGGCAAAATCCCGTTATAACTAATAATCAGTATACCTAGGTATTGTGATAATCAGTAAACTTATTGTGATTATCAAAATACCACGTATTCTGAATAGTAAAATACCAAGTATTTTGATTATAAAAAAAAATATCCTTAGTAGCAAAATACTTTTTTCTCAGTGTGCAGCTTTCCGTTAAATCCATAACTAAACGCTTAAAATTGCAATTATGAAGTTTTTGAGCTGTCCCAGCTCAAATAGTTAGTTGTTCTAAGCTTTTGAACTCTTCGAGCTCAAAAGTCTGATAGAAGTTTAAAATACGAAAAAATACTTGTGTAGCGAAGAACAATTGAATTTATTGAAATAGTTTCATTTTCAAAAAAAGTTACACTTTTTTACGGGATTCATTTTAGATCCCAGCGGACATTTGAAGTCAGTTGCAAAATCTAAGCTATTCGAAAATGGCCCGATGATACGCTTATCCTTCGGAGCATGAGATTCATCGGGTGTTGAGACACTATATTCAGATCGATAATCGCAATAAAAATTGGCGTGGAATAACCAAAATAGTTGATTCGCATCGAATTGGGAGCTTGAATAAATTAGTTCTTTTCCGTGTTTCTTGACCCAATCTTGATAGGCGGAGTAACTTATTTTGACACCAATATTGTCGGCGATGTTTTCATCTAAAAATTTTTGACCATCGAGCTGCAGGAAAAGAAATAAGATATAACATTAGAATCAAATTAACTAACAGCTATTTTTTTACAATATATAGGCATACTGTTTTGTTGGTCGTTGCATAAGTATAGTTATTGAACTGCTCAATGAGACACGTTTCTACTTCCTGGTATTTTTGATTACTCAATTGACCCCAACTGTTCGTTCTTATATCGTACTTGTTGATAAATTTGTAACGATTGTCAACAACGTGTCCTAGTTCATGAGCAATAAGACCTCCAAGAGCAGCGTAATTAACGAAGTTTGCACGATTGGTACTGAAATAAAAGTGTTTCAGGATTCCAATATCTAGAACTTGATTTGAGAAGAAATTTTAATATAATTTTTCAGACGAAAGAGAATCAAAATTATTAAAAAAAGTTTTTTTTTTGTTTACCAATTCGACGAGAATATACTTCATTGTAACCATTGGAAGAAGGAAATTTACTTATTTTAAACACGAACGTAGAGTCTCTTTGGTTTTCCGGTTTCCGTGTTTCTCTAAGAAAGCTTCGTTCATAGAATGCATTAACGTTCAAAAAATTCATAAGATAATCATCAGGGGTGATTTGAAGCCCTTGATAGTATTCTTCAAATTTTTTTTCATCTAACATTGTGTCAGTCGCTCCAAAAATAAAATCAACTAACTGCAAATGCTGAATTATATCATTTTTAGCTTCGACATCCAGCCAGCTTGTATGGTTTACAGTATCAATCAAAACGTGTTTGACATTCAAAGCTAGCTTGTAAGCACTGTTTTTAATGCGATCTTCAACTCGGGAATGCCGTACCCAATAGGAAACCAACAGTTCGGGTAAGTATGAAGCTAATTCATCGAAACAATTTTTGGTTTTTAACTTTTTAACTAAAAATTCAACTGCTTTCCATACAATATAATTAGCTTGTACTCTTTTCGGAGTTTCATTGACTAATTTTTCAAATTTCGTAATGTAATCGGGGTTAGTTATTATCACTACTGATTCATTGGTAAAATGGTATTCTTTAAATATTTTCATCCATTTTATAGTTGGCCACTTTTTGATTACTGCTTTAATTGTTATTGCATTATTATTATTTGTGCTGTTAAGTGGAGGTGAGTGATTCTCAACGCTTGCACGGTAGAGTTTCTGTTCGAAATCTAAAGACTGTATCAATTCTACTATAGCCTGTGATTCATTTACTCCTAAAGCTTTAGCAACACTGACCATATACTCGAATTTAGATTTTATTCCACTCCAATCCGAATGATTTCTTGCATTTACACTTGGGAAATTCAATTCTGGCGGATTCAACTGATTCATAAAATAGAGTACATTAGTTTCGCAAATTACCGAAATTTCGGTAATACTCTAAATTTTATTACTATTTTAGTAAAACTTACCTCGAAAAGTAATATATTTCCTATTGATAGTGATAAAAATGTTCTGTAGATAGCAAAACTCTTGATACCAATGCTTTCCGCTTTGACATTGATGTCAATCAAATCAAAATAGGTTTCATTCCATTGAGAGCCAACAGCGACCGGCCAATTGCCTAATTTAGAGACTATACTTTTGATAAAATCAATATCTTGGAATCTAATGGTGAAATCTGAGGAAACAAAAGGTTCTAGTCAGTTTATTTGATAATTGAATCAACTCGTTAATTATATCTTTTTACGAAAGATTTTTAAGTAAATAATCGATATCAAATCAGTATTTTTGAGAATCAAGTAACCTCAAAATGATCGAAATAAAAAAAGTCATTACGAAATTGTTTGTTGAATTCATTTAAATTTTCACAAGAAATCATCCAATCGTTTATGAAGTTGAAAGGCCTGAATGTATTTGACGAATTACTTTTCCGCACTAATTCCTTCAACTGACGTATTTGATCGGCTAACGGTGCGAAAAGATCTTGAGGAGGTGAAAGTCGAGATCCACTAACGTTACCAAAATTACCGCATGCGTATTCGTAGAAATTATCACAAGGGTCTACATCTTGTTTAAAATTTCTCTTTATTATTAGCTCTAAAAAATAAATCCATTAAATAGATAAATAGATTTTATCATCCTTGTGATTGACATGTCAATAGGACATAAAGAGTTACCAAAGTCTAAGTTATCTTGTATGCATTCCTGAGTACTGCAACTGTTACAATATTTGTTGAATATACATTTATTGGTATTATTCGAAGCTTCAGTTATTATAATCGAGACAATAATTGCTAGCGAGCTCAACCAGAGTTTCGTCCTATAACAGAAGTTATTCACATTTAAAATTATTCATGGAGCGTGCTATGTCACGTTGGCCACTAGTTTTTTAAAAACGATCTAACTTAGATTGAATGACCCTTTTGTACTTTTTTTACATTACTAAAATCGGTTTTCAGAGATGTTCTAATTTCTTATAAGAAACTAAAACAACATTACTAGTTTTAATTAGAATTTTGATCAGCCTATCCCGACTAGAAATTGTCCCAGTACTTATATTGGGGCCCGCTTGGGATTTGGTGGGGCAAGCCCTATAGGTCTATCCCAACGAAAAAATCGATGATTTTTCAATACCTCTTCCCAACTAGGGCCTAATTGGGAACTTATTGGGAAAACCCAAATTCAATTAAATAATAAAAACATCGATTTTGTCTGAATGGGATCAAGTTGGGAACGTGTTGGGATAGTCCGATGTAAAAATCGATGATTGTGCAATCGCTCTTCCCAACTAGGGCCTGATTGGGAACATATTGGGAAAACCCAAACTCAATTGAATGATAAAAACATCGGTTATGTGTGAATGGGATCAAGTTAGGAACGTGTTGGGAAAGCCCGATGTAAAAATAAATCATCTTTACTATTTTTTGCCAAATGGGGATCTGAGCGGGACCCATTTGGGATATCCTTAGATTCTTATTGAATAAATTGAAGTTTAAATATTAATAAGGAAAATTTTTGGCCTAAAACAATTACTTCTTGTAAATATTTTTCGTCAAAATTATAGACCTTAAAAAGAGAAAATAATTTTGACAAACTTGATTGCTTGAATGAAGCAAATTCTTGATCGAAGTATAATTAATTAAAAAAATTTTCTGCTTTATTGAAAACAATGAAAATTTTCTTTGTTTATGTTTTTTTCTATCATAAGTAAATGTCTAAAAATTAAAAAAAATAATTTTAAAATTAAAATTCAAAACGCTTAACTTCACTTAAAACTCTGTACTTTGAATATTTATAAACTTTTTATTTTTTACATAATTTACATATTTCTCTTAATACGTATTGAAAATAAGTGAATTTTTGTAGATTTCTTTAGCTTATAAAAATTGAACATCATATCTTATCATCAAATTTTTTAAGTGGATTCACGTTTGATAGAATTTTTGTACGTAAAGAAAATTTTGAGAGTAATTAAAAATGTCAATTGGAGATCAATAAATTAATTTTAATTGTTTTTTCTGAAACACGAATTTCTTAAGAGCTGATACTCCGTTGAAGTGTTTGTTATAGTACTAAGGGAACTTTAGAAAATAAATTAGTCCGATCGAACGGGAGGCACTTTTCCCTATTGTACCTGGCTAAGGTCTTTACAAAATGAGATTGAAATATATTAACTGGCCGTTATGTAACAAATAAAAATACTTGCATGAATACTTACATGTTGAAAATATTTACTGTAGTTTACACAAAAAAAGTGCAAAGAAAAAGTATCTACCGGCACAACGTGGTTGCCGGATTACTACAACAGTCGTTTGATTTTTAGAGGTTAGTTAGAGGTAGAGGTGAGTATAGTGGAAACAACTATGATATTGTACTTGATTTTTCAATCCCACCGACAATTAAATATTGAATTATTTTTAGGTAATAACACTATCCATTAAGAAATCCATCATTTTAAAGTCTGTATTATCAGACCATTTTATTTATAATAAGATAAGAAATGAATGAATTGTATGACACCATTAAAGTAATCTCTTGTCAAAATAGGAAGGCTATTAACGATGTGATTCATTCGGTCAATCTTAATTGATGTACTTAAAAAAAGCTAAAAAAAGTTTGAGCCTGCAGGCCATCCCTGGCACTTCCCGCTATGTACGAGCTCAAAACGATCGAGAAATTATCTATTGCAATGTTTTGAGCTTCTCGAGCTCATAAACACAACTTTTGTACTTTTTTGAACTCTTCGAGCTCGATAATCTAGTGGTTATTGTATAATGGATTGCTAATTTATCAGATTGACACTAAAAATTGTTGAAAAGAAAACACTAATCTAGAGCAGGAAATCATTCTTATTTATTTAAGAAGCTTTAATCTTAAAAGAAGTTACATTTTCTTACGGGGTTCATTTTAGATCCCAGTAGGCATTTGAATTCTTTTGCGAAATCTACACTGAGAGAAAAAAATACTTTTATTAAGAAAATTTTCTTCATACAAAAATTTATGTTCTTAAAAATTTTCAAGAATATATATTCTTAGCTCAAGAAATTGTTAAATTGATTGAAATAATTTTTACTTAATATAAATAAAGCTATTCTTTTGTTTATCTATTATCCAAAGATAAATATTGATGTTCTTCTCTTCAGAAATTAATAATTAATAATAATAGAATATTTGATCGTCAGCGAGTTTCTTGAGCCAAGAAATTGTTAATTGAGCAAAAGTATTTTTTTTTCTCAGTGTATAAGCTGTTTGATAATGGCCCGATCACACGTTTATTATCCGGAGCATGATTGTCATTTGAAAGCACATTAAATTTTGTTTTATAATCACAATATTGATTAGCATATGACAGCCAAAATATCTTATTCGCATCGAATCGTGAGCTAGAATCGTGAACTAGTTCCATACCGTGTTTTTTAACCTAATCTTGGTAGGCAGAGTATGCGGCCTTGATGCCAATGTTGTCAGCAATATTCTCTTGTAAAAAATATTCACCGTTGAGCTACAATAGAGAAAAGTAATTTCAGTTACATCAAAATTTGATAAATTTACTAACATTTTTTAAATATTGTGTGATTATACTTTGTAGTTAGTTGTTCCAAAGGTAAAGTTGTTAAACTGCTCAATCAGGCATGTTTCAACTTCCTTCTATTTTTGATTGGACTGTATACACTCCACTTGTTTTCCATTAATCCATATTTGTTGATATATTTATTACAATCGTCAACAGCGTGTCCTAGTTCATGAGCAATAAGAAATCCCAGAGTACCTCTGTAATTGATGAAGTTCGAACGATTGATGTAAAAAAACAAATTTTCTATTACTCGAGTATCGGGCTGGCGGCAATCGACGTGGTTTTTTGATGTTAAGAGCTGATTATAGTTTTTGGAATCAATCGGTAAAGCCGTTTTAAAGTTATTTCAAAAAAACCATATTTCAAAAAATTTTTTTTGCAGTTTTTTTTTAGATTTCTCAAAATCTATTGGTTAGAATCGGTCCAAATTATAGTCAAAATCCAAGTTTGGTCAAGCCCTTTCGAGTGGTGCCAACCGCGATGAAATCGGTCAAGCCGTTCAAAAGTTATGAGGGGTTTACATACGGCCGTACACACACACACACACGCATACATACAGACATACGGACATCATCGCGGAAACATTCGGGGTAGCTTCCTAGGACCTCAAAACGTCAATATCCGTTGAAAACTCGATTTTCAAAAAACGGGGTAAAACCAATAACTTCTTAACTTTTGAATATTTTCAATTTTCTTAGCGGGAAGTTAAAAATATACATAAGTAGATTCAAGATGAAGTTGATCTTGTTGGCTTTCAGAGTTAAAAACGTTAACATGTTCAACTGTATAATATGGGATGAGGTAAAACCATTAAAAAGGAGTGGCGCTACGCGGGTTTCAAAATGATTTGTGCTCCTGACTGAGAGGAAAACTGGTTTCGGATCTCTCTCAAGGCGATAGATGATACAACCTGAAAGATCCGTAGGTGGGATCATTCCTTTTTAGCCATAGAAACTCCATTAGCTATAACAGACACGTGGGAGTGGCGCTGTTCAGATTACTTTTGGTTCTGATTCATTTTCAAGGGAGAAATACTCCTTCAGATCGTTATTTCAACTCAGCAGTACTCCCACAAGATGGCAGGATCTATTCCCTTATAACGATATATTAAATCTAAGGGAGTTTGTGAGAATGGCTTCAAGCTTTGCAACAAAATCCATTAAGTGGCACTTGGAGATTACTCAAGTGAATTATTGATCGCGACGTTGCTGAAAGGTTATAATAAAAAGCATAGAGAAGCTTTTAAATTATTTCAAGTTTCGGAAGATAAATCCAAAGTCGCTTTAGATGTTAACTTTGACATTAAATTTTTCTCTATAGAGAAGAATATAGTTATTAGATACGTATCAATCAATGGAAAGCCATTTGATCATGAATTGGAAATAATTCAGTTACTATTTAACAATAATAATTCAAAAAAACTTATATTTTTTAATTGGTCATTTTGCTAGAATTCAATGAATAACTCTTGGAATTGTAGCTCATAGAATACTCGCGTACTGATAAAATGATTAATTTAAGAAAAGAAATCTTAAATTATGAAAATCATTTTAAAGAATTTTCTTGGCTTGAATTAAGCAGAAAAAGTTTTTAAACTGAGTGAAGATAGTCAAATTTTTCGAAATAATTTTTTTCACTCTAACAGTGTTATATTGCTACTCATCAATATACGGATATTGACAGCGTGCGCATACATATCCGGAGGAATTCTCGGAAAAAGCTTCTAGTCTCAATTCCGCAAAGATTCTAGAAAAATTCTGCAGAGTTTCCACCGGGATTTCTCCGAAATTTTCTGAGAATCTTGAAAAGTCTGCAATGAATTAATCAACATGTCATTATTTCGCGAATCCATATTATTACTTATTTATTAATTTTTTAACAATGATCATTTTTTATGATTCCATCCTGAATTTATCTGAAATTCATATTTGTGTCAAAATTGTGTATTGTGTGTGCACACATATAGTGTTGTCAGTATGCATAAATATATTTCACAATAATAATTGAGCACTAGTTTTTTGGGCACCTTTTCAATTATATATTGATATAAGGTATACTATATAGCAATATTGATATAAGATACAAACAGCAGCAACAATGAAATGTATTTGCTGGTGCAATTAAAAAATGATGATGATGATGTTAATGTTAGTAAACCATTCATTGGTAATTTATTGATAAGTATTGTTTCTAACTACCTATTTTTTGTATAAATATACATGAGGCATAACTTTTTCTTAATAATTAAATTTATTAATTAAAATTTACTTAAGCTTTTTATGTATGTTGGATACAACGGAGCATTCAGATTCCTGTCCTATTATTATCACTGGCCCAGAAAGGGCAAAGCTCTGTAATACTATTATACATACAGTTAGTTATAATATAGTATATTGTGCAACAAGTGCGACAATGTCGCACGAGTTGCACATACTATTTTGTATTACAAATGCGGTGATATATATGGGTGCAAGATTGGGGTCTAGGGGCGAAGCCCCCCCCAGTCCATATAAACAAATAAAAAGTTAAAAAAAAAAAAGAAACAAATATATATCACATAATAAACGCAAAGTAACTAATATTAACTAACAAAAAATAAATTTACACATTAAAACAATCAACACATAAGATTAAATGACATTAAGTTTAACTGTCACTACAATTTTTTAATTTTCTTTAACAAACAAATTTATTCCAAAAAATTAATCATAAAAAATTGCATTTTTTATTTTATAAAATTCCTACATGTCAATTTTATAAAAAAAATTTTTTTTGTCATAATTTATTTTTTACAAAAATTATTAAAATGATCAAATTTCTGCTAAATTAATTTTTATCACAATTAGCTTAATATTAGTTAATTATTTTTACTTTCGTTAAAAGTATGAGAACTTTGTAATGTCAACCTCACTTCTTTAATATTGACAGTTAGATTGTTTTTTTTTTGTTATTTATTTTAATTTTAGCAGTTTTCACAGTCATTTGCGTGCGACAAGTAAACTTGTCGCACTCAAATAACGGTTTCATTTATGAAAAAACTCACGCATAATTTTAAAATGGGCAAACAGCTCTTTTTCAAACCCAACAGCGAGCGCCAAGATACTACTTTTCCCGCATGAGTAATACAAAGGAAGATATTTTGAAAATACATATTCCATGTTAGCTTGATAGACCTTGAATCCTAAAGTGATATATGAATAACAAAAAAATAAATAAATTATGTTTTTTGTATAATAGATATTATTTGTTTTATTTTGCTAGTAAAGTTTTTAAAAATTTAATATTACCTGAGTGAAATTACTTTGCATGAATGCCTGCATTTAATTTACATTAAATGGGAATCCTGTCGTGAAATCGGAAACGAGCAGCGATGGATATCGATTTCAGAAGGATATGAGGAGCTTTATGTACAGAAGTATACACCTGTGACAGAAAACTTTTTACGGCTACGCATGAGTTACGAGGGTGTGTTTTGCGTACATCGTACTGAATATATGATGCTGCGCAATATAAAAGTTTATAGCTTGAACCCTTTAACAAATAAAACAGAATTTTGAAATTTTCGTTTTTGTAACGTATTATATTATTTTTAGTTGACATTTTCATGTCCTCGTATGCATGTATCAATCTTTCTATCTATAGGTATATTAAAATTTTATTTTCTCAAATGTATTGTTATTATTAATTTTTTTTTTCAGATTCAACTACACTAGAGCGATTATTATGTAAAAACAATCGGCACCTACTGGTAAAAAAAACACTGCATCAGTATTGTCTTTTTCGTTACAAAGGCAGTTATAAATCCTGTATAAGACAAAGGTAAAGTGGTCAGTCGTAAATATACACGTGTAAATATATTGCAGCCGTAATGTAGCTCTGCAACTAAATTGTATTCTTTGTATAAGTATATTGAGCTCTTATTGCTTCGAAGCTAAATCATTAAATAACCATGCGCTTATATTTTACAATCATTTTAAAATCTTGGTGCTTAGATCAAGTCCGAGAATTTAACTTTTTTTAAATACGTGAAAGACACAAATTGTTCATACTTTACACTAATAAAAAATCCAGTAACTTGATTGAAAAAAAGGAGCTTTTATCACCAAGAATTAATATCAATGTCTTGAATTACGTAAAAGAATGTTTGGTTTTAAATTTTACTTAAGCAAAAACAAATTCGTTTTTCGGTTTTCAAAAATGGATTTCTCATCAGATCACGTTTTAAAGTCCTAGGAAGCTATTCGGACTATTTCTAGACGGATATCCCTTCATATGTATGTAAATTTGAATCACTTCGGTTCAGTAGATTTTGGGAAATCTCAAAAATAAAACTTTCAAAAAATTGTTTTTTTTCGGAATAATTTATAATTTTTAAGCTAATGTATCGATCAATCTTAAAAAAATGATCAGCTCTTAACTTAAAAAAATAATAGCAATTGTCGCCAACCGCCTCAAAATGGATTAATTCGATCAATAGAAACCGTTGTGGAAAAATTTCGAAAAAAGTGTTTTTTTTTTTTACGTAACTTCGAAATTTCTTCTCGAATCGTTTTTGATGTAAGAGAATCACTGTTCGAGCTTGAGAAATTGCGTCGAATGCCGTCAGTCTCGTCAAAATCTGTCAATTAGTTCGTAAAATATTTAATTTTTAAAAATTCGAAAAAAATGTTTTTTTTTTTTAACATTACTTCAAAATATTACGCCAAATTGTTTGGTAGTTAATAAATAATCTTTTTGTGCTTTTAAGAAACTGCGTCGAATGCTGCAAGCCATTTAAAAAACGATAGATTTTATCATGTGTATAAAAGTATAAAAGTTGCATTTTTGAGCTTGAAGAGCTCAATACTTCGGAATAGATAATATCTCGATCGTTTTGAACTCGTACATAGCGGGAAGTTTCATAAATGGCCTGCAGGGTCAACCGTTTTCCAGACTTCTTTTCTTATCTAACGCAAGCGCTCTAACCCTAAACCAATAAGGAATCAGGGTCCATTTCTTCGATTAGTATCAAGAATTTCAATTCTGAACTAACTTCACTTCAATCATCAATTTTATGTTATAGGATTACCGTTAACTAAAATACTTCAAATCAATAAAAAATATTTAAAATTTGTACAGTAAATAACGAATTTTCCAAAGTTTATTTTGTATATAAATCAACGGCAGATCTATATGAGGGATGATTACTGATTTATGAACCATTAATAAACAAGGTCATATATTTCTGGTCTACATTCAACATAAGGAATATCTTGTTTACTTTGTTCCAGAATCGACGCAAAGCTACTAAACCCTAAAATTCAGGTAATATAATACACACAAAGATGCGGTGGTCGAGTTTTGAGTTTCTAAACTGGAATAAAGGATACACATAATGCCCGGAAGAGAAAATGGAAAACGATTTACAATGGATGGTAAACCATAACGTAATCCAAATCAATAAACTAATTAAGTTTAACTAACTAGTTAAACCAGTTTCGTTCGACTGGTTGTATTACTTGTTACTTGAGTATTATTATTATTATGTACTGAAAGTAGATACGATTTTGGTTATTTTTAAAATATCTGAAATTGAATACAACTCACAAATTCCTGTAATGAAGTGGTTATCTTTCAAATCGTTTAATGAATAAAATATTTAGCGTTGCAAGCTAGTTCTGAAATTAATAGATGCGTCAATGTATATAGCATTATTTATTTATGTAATTTTTACATTTACATACCTGTAAATTTAAAAATTTTTTCGTTTTAACAATAATATTATTTAACAATGTCATTTTTACATATATTTATACCGGTAAATTCAATAGTTTTTATTTTTAGATGTAGTGTTAATTAAAAATTTAATTCTTACATTTTCATGCCTGTAGATTTAACAGTAATTCTTTGTAAAAATATAATAGATAATTAGCAGTGCTTAATTTTATTTTGATAATTACAGACAAATAACATAGTGACCG